ACAGGCCAAGAGCAAATTTCAAACAGCACTAGATGACTGGAAAACTCATAGCTTTAAGCAATTGCCTTATGTCATGATCTGATAGTATCTGAACGTGATTAAAACTAAATATTGTCGTCTAGAAACAACTGAAGTTTAACGACTAGCAATTATAATGTCTCAAAAGTTTGGAGACATCTCAGAAGAAGTTAAAAGGCTGAGAAATCAGACATAATAGAGTGCTTAGTATTATTCAGTTCCAATGTTCTAAATCCTATCTAAATCCCATGAAATGATTGCACTGCAGCCCCTTCCTATCCAAAGATGTTGTAGGCCTTAGATAACACCTTTTCATGGTATCTGTAAAAGGACATTTTGTATCACCAGAACTCTGGGCTTTCTTTTTTCAAAATATTTTTTATGGGTAAATGACACAAACAACCTTAAACAAACACATATCAGACAAACAAATGATTAAAATATCCTAGACATACCTATGATGTTGGTTCTTGATACAGTCAAAGTAAGTGAACATCATAAAGAGAAAAGTAGGAGTATAAGAGTGTAGGGGAGGAGAAAGGGCAATGGTGAAGAATTTTTTTTAAAAAAATTAAAGAGACCAGCATCACTACAAACGTACATTTATACATTTCCCCTTATCACTTCCAGATCGCTTTCCATGGTATTAATTAATTCTTTTCCCCGACATATTTCTCCTAATATATATGCCTCTTTGTGTGTATCTTAAGTCTTAGCCGGGATATTTCTTTATTCTGTTTTTATGACCATTTGTATTTGTTCTCTTTTTAGGAATTTAATAAAATTACTCCAATCCTTTCTGTTTGATATTGATCTGTTTTGGGTGAGTTTTTGGGTCAAAAGGTCCATATTCATAATGCCAATTGTTTTCTCAATCCAGTTTTCTATTGTTGCTGTTTCTTCTACTTTCCAGAATCGGGCTATACATATTCTAGCCGCTGTGGTAAGGTAACAAAAATATTGTCTCCATTTTTATCCATTTGAAAATAGCTTTTTTTGAGTGCCAACAAACATCTAAAGGGACGATCACATCATTATAGTTATTATAATCACTACATTACTATAATTGTTACATTACAGCTAACTAAAGAGATCCGATAGCCATGTAATGCTGTTGGATATTCTTCATGTTGAAGACATGTTATTGGGGCACATGTGCAATTAACATCATTTTCACTTATAATCTACTTCCATGTTTTCATGCACAAAATGTCACTTTGTGGTTGGCTTTGCATAGGGAAGCTTATAATAAAAATATTCTTTTGAGGTAGATCAGTTTTTTAAAAAAGATATCTTGCCACAGAGACAGAAATGCAATCATACATAAGTGTGGATTACATTTTTCCAAAGTAGATATGATCTAAAAAGGATGTTGTGAAGGAGTCGTTAAACTGCTGCCACCAATTGTAACGATGACCGTTTTAATGCCACCGAATGTCACCAATTGTGAAGGTGCGCGTGGTAAAGCACCCACTGCCACCTTATCTATGAGGGAAGCCGGGCAACGATCAATATCCACCTAGGAGCTATTTTATAAAGGGACTGCTAATTACAGTAGGCTTTATTCACTTGATAGCGTAGCGTTTACTTTCCTGGCTTGACTTTACTATTGCAGGCTGTTCAACTTAGGAGAAACTGTATCAGACAAGGCTTGAGGAAAATAGTAACAGGTTTATTTCAACAGGAGTATAACAATGTATAACTGTTCTTCAAAAGAGGCACAAATCTTGATGGATACATTGGAAAGGTTTCATGAGTAAACTCAGGCAAACACTTCATAAGGTTTCACAGCTGGCACAACAGGCTTAAACCCAGCCAAACCTTGATTCTTAATTTAGAATCAACAACCCCCTTCTCTGCAACCACTTGGTCACCAATTGATTCCCTGAATCTCCACCAAGAGATTCAGTCTTTCCCTATAGCACACTGGCTACAGACACATTCCCTGAATCTCCACCAAAAGATTCAGTCCACTCAGTAACTCGCTGGCGTACTGACTGACTCTTTTTCAAAACAGCTGCCCCTGAAGAGGCAGTTGGCTCCGCCCCTGTTGCTATGGCAACTCAGCTAACGCCAAGCCACCCTCTCCAACAAAACATAATCTTACATACTTACCATCCCTAAACCACTATCCAAACTACACATAACCAAAGAAATAAAATCTTACACATCGTCACAGATGTATTCAATTAACTTTTTATTTAAGAGTTTATTATCTTGAGACATGCAGTTTTCTGTTTAATTTGAATGGAGATCTGTGATAGGGGGTCCCAATGAACATATTTGTCGGTTGGAGTCCAATTCATTGGTAGCCTGCCAAATGTTGTTAAGTTAAAACTTTCATTATTCTAAACCATTGGCCATTCTGACTTGGTCTGACAGGAGGAGCAGTCCAACACTATCCAGAAGGTTAGATATTCTCTTCCTCAGTCTAATAATTATAGTTCAGTCTTTCCCAGTATTCATGGGTTCTGCTCCCATTAATTCAACCAATCATGGCTCCAAAGAATTGTGGGGGAAATCCCCAAAACAAAACAAAATTTGATTTTATTGCACACGAAGCATTACACAGATGTGTAGGTATATTCAATTCTAGCTTCCCATCATTTCACAGATCTTCAGGCTCTCTCCATCACTTGTTTGAGTTCATTGCAATTTTATATAAAGGGATGCCATGTTACTACACCACTACACCACTGTATGTAATGGGAATTGAGCATCCATGAATTTTGGTCTCTCAGAAGATACCTGTAGTCATCTTTGTAAATGTTTTGACTGATTCGTTTTAATTGCAGAATGAGCTAAAATGTTTCAAGTGGCAAATAAACCTAAACAGGCTCACAGACACTTAGCTTCCATCATTTACCTTGTGGTATGGTGAAGCCAGGGATTGCTGGTACCATTTTTGTGATGAGCAAGGCCATCCCTTCCGTCATAATTCGACTCTACTATAAACTCTGATTAGACATTTTCCTCACTGGAGGAAGAAGAGATATTCCCAAAACAATGTGCTTGTATGAATTATTCCTTTTGTAGGTTTTGTCTTGAGCAAACAAGACCCATTTTCTTTACAAAAGACCTAAGCTTGGTGGAGATGAAAGCATGTGGAAATTATGTTGGAACTACACAGCTTCTGCCCAGTAAGGGCTTCAACGTTAACATTTTGAATCTACCACTGAATATAGATAGAAACATTGAACTCCAATTCTTTCTCAATTCAGAGCTCCTGTATCTCCCAGTACTCCTATATATAACAGTGCATTGTTAAGGAATATACACGTTTTCCCCACAGGTTACCAGTTTTGGAATGAAGACATGCCACACCATGCATTTGTTGTTGTTGTTGTTAATGGCCATGAAACTGACTTCAACTTCTGGCAATTGAATGAATGAGGATATCATAAACAGCCCTGCTCAGGTCTTGCAAACTTGGGACCATGGCTTCCTTTATTGAGTATCTCTATTGGCAGTACAGTTTTCCTCTTTTCCTACTGACTTCTACTGAGTCCTGTCTTCTCATGATATCCCAAAGGACAGTCTCAGCTTCTTGGGAATGTTCAGACCAGGACACATTTATTGGTCCTTTTAGTAATCAATAGTATCAGTAAAACTCCTCTCCATCACTGTATTTCAAATGAGTTGATGCTTTTCCTATTGGCTTTCTTTACTCTCCAGTTTTCACAACCACACATAGAAATTATTAAGATGCTCGTATGGACTATCCTAACTTTAGTATTCAATTATGTATCCTGACATTTCAGAATCTTGTCCAGTTCCTTCCCAAGCTGCCTTTCTAAGTCCTAGTCTTCTTCTGATTTCTTAGTCTGATTTCGCTAATATTTTCCCTCTTGATTCTCTGCAGTAATTCCTACAAATCTTTGTTATTTTATGAAGTAGCCTGGTGTCAGGCCTATATCTTAAATGGCTGCTATACCTATCTCTCAATGACTTCTAATTTAAAGTTATGTAAACAACACTATATAATACAATTTGGGGGGGAAATCGGTTCCTGGTTTGAAAGTGACACATGCCTCTCCAGTTAACCCATCACAATATTGTGCCTTTTCTCAAATCCTCACACAGATCCATCATTGTTTGAGTCCAAAGTGCTCTCTGGAAGGGTTTGGTGGCATTGATCAAGAGTTTTTGGAGTGAACTACAACTCCAAAACTCTTGATCAACGCCACCAAACCCTTCCAGTATTTTCTGTTGGTCATGGGAATTCTGTGTGCCAAGTTCGGTTCAATTCCATTGTTGGTGGAGTTCGTAATGCTCTTTGATTGCACGTTCACTATAAATCCCAGCAACTACAACTCCCAAATGACAAAATCAACCCCCCCCCCTCGCCTCACCAGATTTTAAATTTGGCTGTACCGGTTATTTGTCCCAAGTTTGGTCCTGCATATCAGATGTTTACATTACGATTCATAACAGTACCAAAATTACAGTTATGAAGTAGCAAATAAAATAATCTTATGGTTGGTGGTCACCACCACATGAAGAACTGTATTAAGGGGTCGCAGCATTAGGAAGGTTGGGTAACACTGCTTGTTATTTCCTGCAAGGAGCCTGCGTCGTCCACATCTCTGATTTTTTTTTTTTTTGTCGTGCCAGGAGCAAGTAGCTTCTGATGTGAGAGAATTAGCCGTCTGCAAGGACGTTGCCCAGGGGACGCCTGGATGATTTGATGTTTTATCATCCTTGTGGGAGGCTTCTCTCATGTCCCCGCATGAGGAGCTGGAGCTGATAGAAGGAGCTCATCCGCCTCTCCCCGGATTTGAACCTGCGACCTGTCGGTCTTCAGTCCTGCCGGCACAGGGGTTTAACCCACTGCGCCACCAGAGGCTCCCACATCTCTGATATGACCCGCACACTCACTCCCTCCCTCCCGCTTTCTCGCCCGGCCCCTGCCTCGAGGGTCTGCGGCCTTCCAAAGAGAGGCGTGCCCCGCCTGCTTGCGTCACTTCTCCACGCCATTCCCTACTTGACAGAACAGTGGGTTGTGCCATTAGCTAGGCAGCGGCGGGAGGCACCACGTTGCGTCACTTCTGCGCGCCGGCGGGGAAGGGTGAAGGTTTTGCCGAAGGGGCGGCTCGAGAAGAGCGAGGCGGACGGTGGCCGCATGAGGACATACCGAGCAGTAAGCGTACTGGTGGGGGTCACGCTGAAAAGAGCGCCGCGAGGGGTTCCTCCCTTCGTGCCAGGGCTGGGAAGAAGCGCCTTCAAAGGACCCGCCTCCGTGGCGCCTGAGACAGCCTGGGCTTGGGGAAGGAAGGATGGAAGGGACCGCAGAAGTACACAAACGCCTTGTTTTGTAGCTCTTTGACCGTACAGCTGCTTCGGAATTGGGGCTCCCCATGAGCACAATGGACCTCCTTCCATTTAAGCGTGTAGGAGCAACTCCCAGAAGCCCCAGTGTCTGGGCCCCTGCCCTGCCCTGCCCTCTCTGAGGCCCCCTTTCCCTCCCTCTGCGCCTGTCTGTGGCCTAAGAAATGCGCTGTCATGGCCAGTCAGGGGCTTGGCCCAGTTTTCAAAGCGCCTGGGCTGGAGTCCGGATAGCCTTGAGGTCCCTTTCCAGCTGGCTTGGTTGCCCTTGGGCTAGGAAAACTCCCCTCAACCATGCCTCACAGTGTCAAAAACGCTCACGCAGGGGTACAGGGAGGAGTGCATCTGCAATGTGGAATTAATGCAGTTTGACACCGCTTTAACTGCTGTGGTTCAATACTTTAGAAAGTTTGGGGAAGGTCCAGCACTCTGGCTGAGAATGCTGAAGACCTTACAGAACTACAGCTCTTCAGATAAAACAATAGATCGCATCCTCAGCTGTTGCAAGAAGATTGCACAGACAGACTACATGCAGAGGCATAACATGGTTGCTCAGATGATTCATTGGAACTTGTGCCACAAATACCATCTGCCTGTGACAACTAACTGGTGGGTTCACAAGCCGGAAAAAGTTACAGAGAATGAACATGCCAAACTCCTCTGGGACTTCCGGATTCAAACGGACAGAGTTTTGGAGCATAATACTCCTGACCTCACAATCATGTTAAAAAACAAAGTATGGATCGTTGATGTCGCAATCCCAGGTGACGGCAGGATTGCAGAGAAACAACCGAAAAAGCTGACACAATATGAGGATTTAAAGTTCAAACTGCAAAGACTCTGGCACAAGCCAGTAAAGGTGATCCCAATGGTGATTAGCACACTGGGTGCAGTGCCTAAAGGCCTTGGCCTGCACTTAAAACACAATCAGTACTGACAAAATTACCATCTGTCAGCTGCAAGAGTCCACCCTACTGGGATCTGCACACATTATTCGCCGATACATCACACAGTCCTAGACTCTTGGGAAATGTCCAATGTGTGATCCAATACAACAGCCAGCAGAGTGATCTTGTTTGCTGTGGACTAATCTTGTTGTGTTTTAAATAATAATAATATATTTTATATTCCACTCTATCTCCCCAAGGAGACACAGGGCGGATTACAGAACACATACGGCAAACATTCAATGACAATTGTACAATTAACAAGGAACAAGGACAGACTACATAAACATTGAGCCATGGCAGTTAAAGCGTGTCAAACTGCATTAATTCTACAGTGGAGATCAGGCAAGGCAAACTTAGGCCCTCCAGGTGTTTTGGACTTCAACTCCCACAATTCCTAACAGGCTGAAGTGGAAAAGCAAGGGGCCTGAGACTGTTAGGATTGATGGGAGTTGAAGTCCAAAACTCCTAGAGGACCCAAGTTTGCGCATGCCTGGTGTAGATGCACCCTGGGAAGTAACTGGTGATTCGTCTTGCAGGAGTGTGTTGAGGGCTGACAATATGCATATACCAAAAGGAAACCTTGACTTGCTATTTTAAAACGAACCACTGGACTCCAAGAGCCCACTATAATAAAATGGAATAGATGTATTTACATGTAAGTGGGTTAAGTGCCACTGAACACCAGCAAAAGAAATCTAAATTTGGAACTTTAGCTTGGGCTGATTGTATGGGTTCATATCTTCCACATTGTTTGTAATAATGATGGCATTGGCATTCTGTTTTATTAAGCCAGTGCCAGTGAAATTGTCTGGCTTGTTGCTAATACCTTGCTTGTCCTGGAAAGGTTTCAGAGCAGTCTTGTATCTGGATTTTTGTCCAGGTCTTACATGATCAATGGCTATATTGATATTTATGCTTTCTGCACTGAAATCTAACAGCAAAGGAACAGCTGTAAATACAGTATAATAAGAAAATAAATAAATGTGTTCTGATTTATTTGCTTCAGATGCATCATGTCCAAAATGGGAGCGTTGCGTGTGGGACTTGGTGTGGTCTTAGGAGCAGCTGCAGGAATAGGTCTTTTCTACTACTTTTACAAGCAGAAGAGAAAAAAGCCCTGGCATAAAGGCAAACCAAGACCTGTCAATTTACAGAGTCAGCACAATGCACTGGAGCCTCAGGAACACACAGAACATCTGCAGCGTTATAATCAGGGTAGGATTGCCATGTTTTCTTTTCCACATCTGTTTATACAAAAACTAGCTATTCAGACTATATGTGATGTATACAGATGTATATATTGTGTCCTCCCTGCTTTGAACTTGGAATTAACATGCCAGTGTTCTTTTGTTTGCTTATTTTAGTGCATGTTGAGTCTAAGACAATCATGCATTATGTTTTCGTAAACAAATTTGAAAGTCCCCATTGTTTATTTTAGAGAGATTTCCTACTTAAACTATAGCTCTATTGCCAACTTTACCAAACAAGGATATATTTTTCGATGCCTAAAAGTTGTCTGCAGCTCCCTTTCCACAACACTTTTCAAACACTAAGGTGAATGCATAGAAAAGAAGGAGGCATGCGTACAATAATGTGACTTCCAAGTACCATGCATTCTATGTAATTCTTTCAAAGGACATTGGAGATTCATGTGGTAGGCTACAAAGGCAAGCTGATTCCTCCAATGACATCTGTTCTGTTAGTTGATTGGCGTATTTGAATTTCACCTTAAGTGTTCGGTTTAACCTCTGACATTCCCAGAATATTTCCTAAATATTTGAGAATGTGGACAAAAGTTAAATGAGTGTGATAAGCTGAATATGTACGTAGAAGATCTATTATCCGCCCCCACTACTAGTTCTATAATTGAGACAGCAATATAAATAAGTTGTTCATAGTTTTGCAGAAATTGTTTATATGAGGATGTTTTTGCTAAAGCAGACTTACAATTCCTCTAAGTTTTTCATTTAGACACACTGAGTATGGTCGAGCACCTCTGTGTGTGTGTGTGTGTGTTAGAAAGAAAATTCTTTTTCACTTGTTTTGTGTGCTGTATTGGCTATCACCATGAGGTAATTTGGCTACTGCTGTGCATTGATTGGCCTTTCATACCTAAGTAGAAGTGCCCTGTTGGACAGTATGATGATTGGAGGATGCTGTGAGATTTTGCACAAGATTTCTGCGAGTTTCACGACATTCAGTTGTATCCCTGTACCTATTGTGGAATGACATTGGTGCTTGGGTACTTACACATTTGCAGTCATGTTATGCTAGTGTTAGACTGGTATAGCAGATGCAGTTATAGCAGGACCATGGGTTGAAGGTATAAAGTGCCTCACTTAAAGCTGTGTTTCTCTGAAAATTATAATTTTCATTTATTTATATAACACAAAATATGTCATCAGTTGCAGTTTTAATGTGTGTGCATAGTGGATAGAACACGATAAAGATTTTGATATCAATAACCAGGACTGTTCAAGTAGGATTGAACAAAGTTTGTTTTCTTCCATAATGGTTTATTTTACATCTTCAGCTTTTTCAGTAAAACAAATATGAATACATGTGCACATTTTGATATATTCTTATAAAAATAGGGCAACATTCTCAACTAACTGCTGTGAGTAAGTTAAATACAGTCAAGAGATGATCATATTGTGCCTGTCTGTCATGCATTTCTTGTAGAACAAAAAGTGTGATAAACCTAATTTAGTATGAGAAACATGGTTGAATATACAGGGATTTTAAGAGTTTTGCATAAAAGCCTCTTACCTGTATAACTGAATATATCATTTTCACTTTCCTGTTGTTTTTTTTTAATTCCAAGTTCTTTTTATCTGATTCATGGAGTAGCTGATGGCTTCTAAAAAGTTGTTTTTAAAATATCATCTATTCCTAGTTTTAAAATCCCAAAAATGAAGTAGCAGCAACATATCTTGGACAGAAATAATGAAGTAGTCTTACTGCAGTTACTTTATTCTCTCATTTTAGTTCCATTGATGAGAACAGGACCAGTAGGGGGTGGTGATAATATCCCATATGCACCTCTTTTGACACGTGAAGAACAAGCTGAAGTGCTGAACCGTCTGGACTTCCTGCTTAGAAGCCTTGTAGAGCTGCGGAATGAAGTAGAAGAGTTACGGAATAGCCTACAAAGTTTGGCAGGAGATATTATTGGAGAAGTCAGGTTGGTATAAAGTTGTTCTCAGTGGTATAAAGTTGGTTCAGTAGAATGATGGTGAAAAAAGGTCATGTTTAGCCTTTTCCATAATGCTTATGTCTCTTGTGAAGAGCCTGTTTCACACATAATGATAAACCAGGGTTAGGAATAATGTGGCACCCAAGGCCATTTTGAGGTTCTTTGGGACATCAGTACCCCCCCACAAAGACAGTTATTTTCTCAAGTTTCACCATGTTTTGGGATGCTTGTGGGCAGTTTCCTGCCCACTTTCTTTTCTTGTTGGAAAAGGCTAAACATGATACCAAATATTACAAAATTACCTCTTAGTGGGCATTTCAGGACCAATATCACAAATTGCAGATATTGTTGTCAGCATTTGTTCTCAGTTGTAGCTGCTGGTAAAGTGAAATTGTTGTATTATAGTTGGTAAATGTTACAGGCATTTAACTGGACTCATTCTAAATCAAGCTTGGGCAAATTTCGGCGCTCTAGGTGTTTTGGACTTCAGTTCCAATAGGCTGTAGGAATTGTGGGAGTCAAAGTCTAAAACACCTGGAGGGCCAAAGTTTGCCCATGCCTGTAAATGTTACTGAACAAGATGAAATGATTTTTGATTTTAGGCAAGGGAGAGTTAAAAAAGAATGAAGTGAACCTTTCACCATACTAATCTCCTCTTGCAGATCCCATCTAGAAGAAAGCCAGAAGGTTATTCGTCGAAGGCGTTTTCCATATCCCAGAGAAAGGAGTGATTCTACAGGATCTAGCTCCATATATTTTACAGCCAGCTCAGGAACAGTCAATACAGATGATGGGGAAAGTGAAGGAGGGTGAGCAAGCACTAGTTCACACTTTTAAAACATTGATTTCTTTCCTGGATCATCACATAGGTTTTAATCTTTTACCTTCATCAGGTTTCAACCATGCAAAAATAAAATGTCAGGAATTTTTCGGTTGTGGATTCCTTCATGATAAGAAGATTGGATTGTATAGCCTTGTGGGGTTATTTCCAGTTTTTTGATTCTATTAAATGCAAATGACAGACCCAAGTTGAGATATCTGCAAAAATCTAATGACAGCTGGGCTGTAAATGCTAGCCAGCTTTAATTACTAATAGAAACCTTGCAGTTTCTGAAATCATGCTTTTCAAGGCACAGAGCTTTATTACTGGACCTTGGCCAACAAGTTCAAGTTGCAGTGTAAAGTCGGAGACAGTTTCGGTTCTTGCACTGAGCTTCACCAAAGACCAGAATGGTAGTAATGATTAAATCCAATCTCAGACAACACTATTCCTCTTCAGTCAATCAGCAATGCTGTTAATGATTTGTCAGCATAGGTTTTGTGCAGCATGTGCAATTTCCTTTCAGCTGGAGTCAGGTGGGGAAATGCAGCCCATGGGTACATGCAGCCCCTAAATCCCTTTGGATGCCTTCACAAGCCCCCCAGTTCAGAAATATCGGGCACCATTGTGTGACAGTGTGTTTGTCTGGTGCAGTTGACTGCTAAAATTCAGTAGCAAAACATTACAAAAGTTTGGTGCTATAATTCAGAGGTTTTCAAAGTAATAATCTTTTAAATGACTCTGTGTAGCTCTCTAGATGTACAAGATAAGAGCTTGGGGAAATGTAGACTGTCTGTGGCCCCTGAACCCCATGTTTGTGTTCCCTGAAGCTCCCAAGTTTTAAATAAAAGAATTTGAATGATATTTGAGTGAAACATTAAAAAACCCAAATATTTCTCAAATATGTTATTCTTGTTGTATGCCTTCGAGACATTTCTGACTTAAGCTGAACCTAAGGTGACCCTATCAAGGAACCTTTCTTCATAAATCTTGTTCAAACGGGGTTTGCCTTTGTCTGCCTCTGCGGCTGAGATAATATCACTGTCCAGTGGGTTTCCATAGCTGAGTGGCCTTTTAAACTTCGGTTTTCAGAATTATAGACCAATGTATCACAATGTCTCTCTACTTGAATATGTACAAACTCCGAAAAACTATCTCCCAGAATTTCCAGATAACTCCCCACCATAACCAAAGACCTTCTTTTCTCTCTGTTCTAGCTTAAAAATGATATCAAGAAGTGATGTGATATTAATTATTGTCACTATTTGGAAGGGGAAATGAGGAAAACAAATTATTTTGTCATACCAGGTAATGAAGCCCACATGGGTTGTGAAAAAATGGCATCTTGCCATTTGCCCATGAGTTTATTATGTTTCCTCCCTTGGGTAGTGCTCTTTTAAAAAATCTAGTCTACTGACACCATACATATTCATTTCAACTTAACAAACATATGAGCAATTGCTGCCTATCAATTCAGAGTGGTTAATGTATTTTTTGAATTTTAGTTAATAAATACGTATGATTTAATAGCAGAAACCCTTTTGCTGAGTAATAGGCCTAAATTCTTGTTTACTCCACAGTACAAGTCAGAACTGTTAAAGTTTAAACTGGTTAGAGTCAAAATGAATGTGCTCCAGAATTTTTCTGGCAGGTCAGTGTGTGGATATGACATGGGGTAATAAAAAGAAAATTGTAATTGGCAAATTGGTTTTTGAATTGAAGCACTTGAGGCTATACTCTTTTGAGAAATAACCAGTTGAAGAAAGCTCCAAGCACACTTTAAAAAATATTATTTGTTTTGTTCATGAAACTCAAAACAGCTCATTACTGCTAGCATTACAAATCAAATATATGCACTCTGTTTAGTGTAAGGCATTAAAAAAAATCCAAGGTGGGAAATGATTAAAACCTAGTCTGTCAGTTGGACTCTGTACTTGTACATAATTTTAAACATGCAGGAAAATCATGTGCTTGATATGTCTAAACAGCCCTCTACAGTAGCTTTAGCTACTATATCATTCTAACCTAGCAGTCTGAATAACAACTATGGGAAAACTAAGAAGTTTGGAAATCATGACTCAGCACTTTGTATAGTTTTTAATCTGTATTTTACTGTTTTATATGCTTTAACTGTTCATGTATTTTTAACTTTTTAATAATTTCATATGGTATGTTTATTGTTATGTGCACGATGCAGCATTGAATTTTTGCCATAATTTGTAAGCCACCTTGAGTTCCCTTCAGGGTGAGAAGGGTAGGGTATAAATATAGTAAATAAATAAATACAATAATGATTTTAAAATATATATTTGGTGCAGGGACACTCACGGAGTAATGGTAGCAAAGTCGCAAAACCTAACTATTATGTTCAGGTAGCTCAGTCCAGAATAGACTTGGAAATCTGAGGCGTGATTCCTATCCAGATTAATCTTTTAAGCTCCTTTGTGATGTGGCTACTGCAAATTACCCAGGCACGTTTCACCTGCTTATATTGTTGCCTGTGTGCCTTTTTGGGCTTCATAAATGAGCCTTGCTTTACAAACAACGTGTTTGTGCAGTGGAAATCTGGTCTTTTCATTCTTGTAAGTTAGAGAACTCAGCATTTTTGCATAGTAATAGAGAGCATCTGTGGGTATATTTGACATGATTGTGACATTTTCTTTTTCTGAAAAGCAGGCAGTCCTTAGTGGAATGTGCATGCATTTAATTTTCTTTGTTTAGTCGTGTCTGTCATGCATAGGGAACAAGTTTGTATATTATCTGTCTGCTTGTCCACTTGGGATTCCAAATTTAAACGTAAAGCAGCTTGTTGCTGTCCAGGAGAATAGTGAACTAGTCTTGACACATGACATCATTCGTGCTTTTCAGAGTTCTAATAGGCCCAGGGACTAAAATCTAACTACTGCTAATGTGTTCCACTGATAGAACAATTTCCATCAGTTGAATTTGAAGTGGGGGGACTTTCTCTTGCTGGCAGAATTGCCCCTGCATCCATACAGATCTTTAATATCTGGTCTGGATGTTTAGGGTTCCTTATGAGCAGGTACGTGATGGATTATGGGGTAGAAGAGAAGGTCCCATCATATAAGTGAAGATCTTACTATTGGTTTTTTCCATTACAGTATCTTACCAGAATAGAGAAGATGTGAGCTGCTTGCCCTCTAGAGCAGGCATGGGCAAACTTCGGCCCCTACCGGCTGTTAAGAATTGTGGGAGTTGAAGTCCAAAACACCTGGAGGGTCAAAGCTTGCCCATGTCTGCTCTGGAGCTTTGGGAAGTTACATTTGGGACTGCAACTCCCATAATCCCCCAGGGAATACTGGCCAGGGAATTCTGCCAGCAGTAGACCCGGTGGTCCTGTTTTCACCTTTTCATCTTGGTATAATGGATATATGCTTTGACTAAAGTGGTCAGGAAGCCATGTGGACAGTTCCATTTTAGACTCTGAAATAGCATGAGTTGGACACTTTTTGTGATCCCATTTTAGCCTCAAAGTACAACAACACAAAACTTGATTATAGTCACTGACCACCACAAAGCAGGACACAAGGGCCCTGAGAATGGAAAAAGGAGATACCTTTTGGTATTTAAAAAAAACAACCCTTGAACTTTTTATCTTGAGCCTTCAGTCTTTAAACCTTAGACTGGATCACACATTCATTTGTGAATTGAACTGATGCCCATGCCTGTATATCATAGCTCCAAGAGTTAGGGCAAAAAAGATTGCCTATTTTTCAGATGTGCTGTATGCTCAGTCCACCATTGAATAGCAAAGCTATCTTGCTGTGTCAGATAGGACTGTGTCTCTTTCTATATTAGTATTTTTCTCTATACAAACGATTGACTGAGTTTGCTCATTAAAGTGAGCCAGATTTTTTGGTTCACCCATTAATCTTTATCTTGTTCTCTTAATGCAGTTAATCCAAAACTCTCGGTTTGTTTCCAGCATTCACAAGCCAAGAATCTTTTGTGGTTTGCAATCCTAATTTGTTAAAATAGGAAAGAAGTAGAAATGTTGGCTCAGAGAATCACAAGAAGTATTCATTTCCTGTTTGAGTGTAATATGTGAATGGATCCACTAGCATTTGTGTGTGTGTGTATGTATATGAAAATATGAGAATGAAGGAGGGAGGGATAATGTACGAGTATATTTAGCAAAATCGTTGATATAAATTCTGTGTTCTTCTGTATCTTGTGTTAAAGGTACACCACAGCCAATGCAGAATCCGATTATGATCGGGAGTCTGATAAAGAGAGTGAGGAAGGAGAAGACGAAATCAGTTGTGAAACAGTGAGGACAGCAAGGAGGGATTCTTTGGATCTTGTCAATGAAGATGAAACTGCCTTGGCCATGGACCCTGCTTCAGAAGAGGAACTAGCTCAGTTACTACAACAAGTGGATCATTTGCACCAAGGGAATGACCAGGAGAAGAGAGAAGGATTCCAACTGCTGCTTAACAATAAACTAGCGGTAAATTTCGTTTTAGCCATTTACCAGGGGAACTGAGTTGACCTAATCAACAGAGGGGAGCTGAACAGGATGTTGTGCAACGTTTTGTCTCCACCACAATTTTCAATGACATTGCTTACCAACTTCAAATTGCATACGTGAATTGTTAAAGACCATAAACGCTCCTGAGACCTGGCCTCTCTTGAAAACTATTCAGTTACATTTTGCCTTTTCCCGCATTGAACAATAATGACATTCATTCAATCATCTAATGTTTTTAAACAAAACTACAGCATGTCTGAAACTTATAGCAAAGCTCCCCTGAGACATGTAACTCCGAGTAGGCAGCATTGTTATATCAAAGCACATGCCATCTTCTTCTGAAGTTGCATAAAAATTCCCAAAACTATTAAAGAGAAGGAAAGTTCATTGAATTTTGCTATGCCATCATTTGCATTCTTGCCATACTTTTCTACTAATGAACAGTTACTGTCACCTTTGACTCTTTCGATGCTTTGCTACTCCAGGAGCCTTCCATCCCATTAAAACTTTGTTCCACTATAGACTACTTTCTTCAATCTTAAATTAGACCAAGCATATGAGTATAGAAGACTTGCCATAATCGCCAATCCAAATATTCAAAATCTGAAAAAGTTGTTTCATTACTTTCTCTTCTGCCCTGCATGGCCAAATTAGGTTAATAAGCAAGTATTTAATTTTTAATGCAAGTAGTTGGATTTCCATTTGTATAATTCATGCATACTCTTATCATGATATGTTTCTTATTATTGGAGGTGTTAGGATCTGCACTTTATACTCGAGAATGTTTACTTGTGCCAATTATACATTTTGTTGCTTTACATAATATTGCTAAAACATAGCTGTTCTTTTGTAAGAAACATGTTGATATGAAGCTGCACACAACAATATTCTCTAATTGTGTCCTCATCACATCTAGCCAGTTCTCTGGCATGCCATGTATCTAGCCAGTTCTCTGCCATGCCTGTTGTACACGTTTCACTTGAGGTACCACGTCTAGTGCACACAGCGATAGAATCAGAATCATAGAGTTGGAAGAGACCACATGGGGCATCTAGTCCAACCCCCTGCCATGCAGGAAAAGTACAAAGTATCCCTGTTTAAAAGCTTCCATCACACGCCGAGGCAGAGAACTCATTGCTCATAGTCCTAGTTTCAAGGGCAGCAGAAAACAAGTCTGCTCCTTCTTTTTTATGACACACTTTCACATATTTATACATGGCTTTCATGTCTCCTCTCAACCTTCTCTTCTGCAGGCTAAACATATCCTGTTCTTTAAGATGCTCCTCATAGGGTATGGTCCCCAGACCTTTGATCATTTTAGTTGCCCTCCTCTGGACACCTTCCAGCTTGTCAATATCTCTTTTTGAACTCTGGTGCCCAGAATTGGACACAATATTCCAGGTGAGGTCTAACCAAAGCAGAATACAAAGGCATTATGGCTTTCCTCAATCTGGACACTAAACTTCTTTTGATGCAGCCCAAAATCCAATTGGCTTTTTTGGCTGCTGCATCACACTGTTGGCTCATGTTTAACTGGTTATCCATGAAAACTCCAAGGTCTTTTTCACATGACCTGTTGTCAAGCCAGACATTGCCCATTTTGTAGGTAGTTTGTAGGTAATTGCAAAGGAAACATAGTGTCCCTGTATGTAATACTTCAGTGGTTCAATTGTTATTGTACATCATTTAAATAGCTAGAGCATAGACTCAGTTTAATAGATTAGACCATTTTATGGGGTTTTCTTTGTCTGAGAGTGTCAATTGTTCAATGGGTTTCCATGGCTGAGTGGAAATTTGAACCCTGTTCTCCAGTCAAGGTCCAACACTCAAACCACTATGACATGCTGGCTCCTTTTAGATGCAGTTGCTAGTCTTAAATATGTAGAAGCATTTATTCAAATGCTGAATAGTAAATCAGCACGGAAGTAAGTCTTACCAGCTTGACCCTGCTTGGGACTAGTAGCTTGAGCTAGATCTGTGATTTTTTTTTTTTTTGAGAACTAGTTTTCCCCCTATATTTCACACACTTGTCTTTTTAATTATCATGATTAAAATTGAATCTAGGGTAATATACTACAATCTGATACCTCACATCAGTAGCAATGGATCATATTCTGATACTTCACATCAGTGGAAAGATTTAAATGAACTTCATGATGTCCCCAAAATTGCCCTTGTTTTGATAGAGTTTAGTGTAGAACATTTCAATACAAATCTTTATTTTTAAAAAATCTAAACAAAATGATGCTGGTGGTATGTTGTAATTGGGAATCCCACTTGCTTGTAATGACTAGAATACAAGTGAACAAATATTCATTCTGTCCACAGTATGGTGACAAGCAAGATTTCCTTTGGCGGCTGGCCCGAGCATATAGCGATATGTGTGAAATTACAGAAGATGCAGATGAGAAGAAGTCCTATGCATCTGATGGTAAGAATCTTTTCCGAAATAAAGACAGGTGTTTTTCACTGAGTTAAAAAAGAGATGTTGCATATGCAATTTCAGTGTGGCATAACCAACACTTGATCCCATTCAACAGCTTGATATCATAGAAATAGCTGCAAATATATTAATGCCCGGCCACACTTCTTATTCATGCTAGTGCTGTGGGCTCTTTTTGTTCATTCTGAAATTCCTGAACTTACATCATTACACTGGCCTGCACACATTGCCTCAAATGTTAGCTCTGTTTCTGGGTATATGTGACCTGCTGATTTCAAGAATAGCACCATTTTTATTTTATTTTATTAACAGTCCCATTAAGAAAATGTATAAGGATGTGGGTGGACTACAACTCATATGATGTCAGGTTAATCCACCTCAAACCAGTGCTTAAAAGTTAGTCATGTTGGGTGGATATATTTGCCAAGTTTGGTCGAGACTCTTCACTATTGTTATATACTTGCTTGGGTAACCAGCATTGACCGGGTTATTTGAAAAAGTCATTTTTAATTGTACAAAATGCATAAGGTTGTGGATTAACTACAACTGACATCATGCCATGTTAATCCTGAGAAACTTAAAGTTTGTTATGTTGGGCAAGTTTTCTACAGCTCCCCCCAAAATTTTCCCCAAAGACCTCCAGTATTTTTTAGTGGTCATGGGGGCTCTGTGTGCCAAGTTAGTTCTAGGTCCATCATTGGTGGAGTTCAGAGTGCTCTTAGATTGCAGGTGAACTATACATCTCAGTACCTACAACTCCTATAAATCATGGTGAATTATCCCCAAACTTCTCTAGTATGTTCAGTTGCTGATCAATTCCTCTGTTTGCTGTGTGCTGTAGAAAAGAGTAGGAAAGGGTTAAGGGAGAGGAAGTGGGTGGTGTCATGCAAATTCCACACCAATGGAGAGAATAAGAAACACTGGGATGTCTGTGGTGAAGGAAAAACAGAAGATCTAGGATGAAATTGTCCCCATATGAAAGCCTTCACTTAGGTGGTGGGCAGTATGCTGTTGGTGGAGGATATTGGCGGGGCTCTTGTATATATTTATCACGCTCTCTGTAACCTGCAAAGTCATTGAAGGGAGGGCCATTGGTGTTTCCTGAGTAGTGGGAGTTATAGCTATTCATGGAAGTAGGAGCCTGTCTGTGGAAGTGGACACCCCAGCCACACACATACATACATATTTTCACTATATTTTATTATGTGAATAGATAGATATTCTGCTCATGTAGGCCTCCCCCCTTTATTTTTAAATTTGACTAAAAATTTATTGATTCTTGCCTTCTGTCTCCATACATTGTGACATATTAACATGTGTTGGAGGTGATATTTAGTGTCAAAACTTCTAACTTGAAATGTAGCAAAAACAACTTGGCATTTTATCTAAAGACATATGAACCAAAAGCTCATAAACTCTGTTTACAGGAGTCGCAGACTGTGAGGGGAACAGCTGTTTGGCTTCTCTATATGTCATCTCATATAGAGAAGCCAAACATAACTTTTTTGAAAAATCTTTTTTGAAAAATCTGTTTTAACATCTTCACATATTATTTTCAATCTCTATTTGGCAAGTATTTGGGTAGTTAGGTGCTCAAATTATGTTGTGAAAATATATTTTTTTGAATTACGTTTCAGGCAAAGAAGAGGCAGAAACAGCTTTGCAGATGGGAGATCAAAGTGCTGAGTGTCACCAGTGGTATGTAATTACTTCCCCTTTAAGGAAATGAAAAGGAAATAAAATTGTTCTGTTAGTTGTACTTCTGTACATTATCATCTTTAGGGAAAAGAAACATTGTTGGAAGTCCAGTCCAGATGGAGAAGTTGTTTTTCTAAAAGACAAAATTGAATTATTCCCCCCTTGCACAAATTCATCTTTGTTTGGCACATGAAGTTTTGAGTTCAGAGATAGTATTACTTACATTTAATCAAAATTGTGTGTGGTTTTGTTTTTGTTTTTGGTTCATTAGTTCTTGTTAGCAAACTAGAAACTGACCCCAAAGAGGTTTTTTAAAAAGTTACAGTACTTCCATTTGACTTTGAAAACAATTATTTTCTCAGCCTCTCTTCTGAGTTCTCATTCTGTAATTTACAATTCTTCCCAAAATATGTTAGTGATACAATCAGGCCAGGGATGGAAAACGGGCATGCAATTTGTATTATCAAACTAGGATTCCTAAAGCCCCCAACCCTCTTAATTTTTAATTTAGTCCTAATTTTTGGAGAATTTTTCACCCAAACCTCAGCAAAACTGGCATAAATCAGGGCTCAAATGTGGTAGTCATGCTTCGTGTCTCTCAAATTGAAGAGGAAGTAAAAAGGACTGACAATCAGACAAAAGTTGACTACATGTGACATGGGATTCTTTACAGAAATGCAGCAGTCCTGGACAAGGGGTCCAGGCAAGAAATTGAGATTCCCTTCTCAGTTGCCTATTCATGGGAGAGATGTATAACATAGTTTCCCTAAGAAATTGAATTATAATGCAAATAACAATAGTAAAAAGCTTTATTGCAACATAGAAATATAGAATTTATTTTTCATATTGCACTATGATTGTCCAGTTGTTTTATAATTGGTTTGAATTGTAGCTTTGCAAAAGCTTTGTACAATGCCAAACTGAATTGTTTGTCTCAATTGCTTGTCTCCCAGTGCAACAACTGATATCTCAGTGCAATAATGATCAATTCAGGTGACAATTGGAATGACTCCTGGCATATATGTTCGGATTCTGTGATTTTTAACTGATTGTTTTAATTGATATGTTTTATTTATGTGATTTTAGTGTATATGTTGTTTTTATGTTGATATGTGTTCAAGGTATAAAATTGTGCCTTTGTTGTGAGCAGCCCTGAGTCCCCTTTGGTGAGAAGGGCGGGATATAAATAAAATAAATAAATAAATTTTGGAAGGTGGGAAGTTACATCTGGCAAGAAGCTGGTACATAGAGGAGTATATAAGAGAATATTCTGTTCAGGCATCACAATGATACTTTAGCTGATCATTTACATCTGAAGAACTGAGGTGGGTTATAAAGTGTCCCAGGCTTAGCAATGAAAGCAAATTCTCAATATGATTAACAAAAAAGGTCAAGAAATACCTGGAAATGTGCCTATTAGGACTATTCAGAAGGTGTATCAGTACAGGGGATGAAGAAATTTGTCAATATTGCTTTGTTGCTGCAAGATTAATAATAGCCAAAACTTGGAAAGGGGAAAAAGAGTTATCTATTAACTCTATTGGAGAGATAAATTAGTAGATTATATCCAAATGGCCAAGCTGACAAATAGCAGCAGAGGAGGAATTAATTAAGAATTTGCAAACAAATAAATACTGGCACTTGGGTATCTGGAAAAGAAGACAAAGGTAAATTTGAACATTGCCACAAAGAGGATTTAGAGAAAGAAGATATATGGGTAGTTTCTGGTTAGTTATGTGATCCTTTTTTGAGGGGCCTCAGAGGTCATGGGATGTGGTTCACGGATGTGGGGATTAAGGGTTAAAAAATGTTAAGGTAAAATTAACTGTACAGTCAAGTTTGATTTTTCATATGTTTAACGAGCACTGAATGTACACCCTTTTGTAAACCTTTTGCATAATTTTCTCTTTTTTTGTTCTTTTGTTCATTTTTTTTCTTTCCTATATATCTATAGAACAATAAATATTATTTTTTTAAAAGTAATGAAAGCAAATTCTCCAACTGCAGTGCTGGCTTGGTAAGGCCTTCTAGAATAGGCCTTGTACAATTAGGTTCAGGCATACAGTTAGAATTAGCACCTACCTGGTGCACTTTGACCCCTTCTACACTGACCTTATATCCCAGGATCTGATCCATGATTATCTACTTATCCCAAATTATATGGCAGTGGAGACTCATATAATCCAGTTCAAAAACCTGGGATCAGATCCTGGGATATAAGGACAGTGTAGAATGGGCCTATGATACAACAGATCAAGCCGAGCAGGAAGAAAGGTTCCAACTTATTCTCTTTCAGGGAAGCTCCTTGCAAGGAAGTCTGTAGTCAACCAGAGCTCATTTTATATCGGAGTCGATCATCTGAGTAAAACACACACTCTGTGATCCCACTCAGATTGTACTCTGGCAGCCAATCAACTTGTCAACAGAGAGCCTAAAAAACACAGTAGAAAGGGAGAAGGAAAGTTTTACGGCCATCTTGCAATGGCCTGGAGGCAGCAAATCGCCCAAGCAATTTCCCATGTTAGAAATCACACCTCCCTTAGTAGGGTTTCTAGGATTGCACATTAAAAGAGACTTACATTTTGGGCAACCTGATAGAAGAGAGAGGATGCTGAGCAGTGCTAGGCATTTGTCATGAGGACTGAATATCCTGTATCTTCCCAAAAGAATCTGATGACTGAAAAACCTCATTTTTATATAGGATGTTCCTAGCCATTATTCCACAAAATTTCAAGACTAGTTCAAATTTAGTCACCTGACAGAAGAAGGAAAACCTGAACATGGCCCAAAGATGTTGGTATGTCTGTGTTGCTCAGCATGTGTTTTAATATGCTGAGGCTCCGATATGCAAATCCCCCAAAGCCTAGCAGAAGAAAAACAGTGGAGCTGCTTTTCCACTTTAGCGTGTCTGTGGTCTGCATACTTTAAAAAGTTACTCTGTGAATTGAAACTCAAGAGAGGGAATTGCTTGTTTGGCTTGGCTTCAGCATTGGCTGTTAGAAGATGTGTTGGAAGTACAACAAGAGCAGTAGGGGATTTCAGAGATTTCTTTGGGGAGGAAATGGTGCAGGTGCAGAACTATCTGTCCTTTATGTACTAAGAGTAGCTCTGAAAATATTTACTGACAAGTTATGAAGCTGAAGTTTGTCATCTGTCTTCTGAGACTGAATGTACAGACTCAATTAGTAAGCTTGCCTCAGAAACCTAAATGGAGCTTTAGTGCCTTGCTTTTAAAGGAAAGAGACATTTAACATCCAGAAAAGCCAAACCATCAGGATATTTTCAGAGACAGAATTGTCATAATTTTGCCCTTCTGTTTTTATGTGCTGAGTATGAAGTGGACTTATTCTTATGTACATTTATCTGGGGGTAAGCCAGATATCATTAAATTTTGTTAATATGAAGCAATGTCTTGACCTTTAGGAGGGCTGCATAGAAATTTTGGAGTTCAAATGTATGCCCCAGATTTTCTCTGTTAATTAAAGTGCATTGCCAGGAAGACTTGGATTTTTCCTCTTATCATAGCACTTTATATACCATTGTCCTATAACATTTACTGTTATTGGGCGTGTAATGCTCAAATTTGTTACTGAAGGAGCTGTCGCTCTAAAAGAGCCTCACATTTTGGGCAACCTGGCAGATGAGAAATAATCTTAGCTGTAGAATAACCACTGAATATTTATTTTGAAGTATGTGTACATTAAATTGTAGCATACAACTGAAAGAATTGTGATCATCAATACACATTTTAGAAAGTAAATATATGTATGTGTGTATGTGGCTAGAGTGCCCACTTACTCAAGACAAGCTCCTGCCTCTACAAACAGCTATAACTCCCACCACTCAGGAGACACCAATGGCCCTCCCTCCAATGACATTACAGGTTATAGTGAGCGCCATGAACATATCCAAGATCCCTGCTAATGTCCTCCACAAACAGCATACTGCCCACCACCCAAGTGAATGCTTTCATATGGGAACAATTTCATCCTAGATTTTCTGTTTTTCTGCCACCACAGGCATCCCAGTGTTTTTTTCTCTCTCCATTGGTGTGGAATTTGCATGATCCCATCCACTGCCTCTCCCATAACCCTTTCCTACTCTTTTCTATGGCACGCAGCAAACAGAGGAATTGATCAGCAATTGGACATACTGGAGGGGTTTGGGGGACTGACTCAGTATGATGGAAGCTGTAGTTCACCCTGCATCAAGACACAGCACTGTGACCCCCACTGACAATGGATCTAGACCAAATTTGGTACACAGAACCCCCCATGACCAGGTTTGGGGGTAATTGACCTTGACTTATAGGAGTTGTAGTTCACTTACATCCAGAGAGCACTGTGAACCCAACCAATAATGATCTGGACCAAACTTGGCACACATACCCGATATGCCCAAATTTGAATACTGGAGGGGTTTGGGGGAAATTGACCTTGACATTTGGGAGCTGTAGTTCACCTACATCCGGAGATAACCCCTACCAACAATAGATCGGGACCAAACCTGGCACTCAGAACCCCATGACCAACTGAATCTGCAGTAGGGGTTTGAGAAGACTGACTCTGGCTGTAGTTTATCCTACAGCCAGAGAGCATACAGAACCCCACTGATGATACATCTAAAACAAACCCCACTTGACAAGCTAAGTACTGATGGAGTTCCAGGGGGTTAATCTGGCATTATGTGAGTTGGGTTGTTGTAAGTTTTTCGAGCTGTATGGCCATATTCCAGAAGCATTCTCTCCTGATGTTTCACCTTCATCTGTGGCAGGCATCTTCTAAGCCAGACCTCACAACCTCTGAGGATGCCTACCATAGATGCAGGTGAAAAATCAGGAGATAATGCTTCTGGAACATGGCCATACAGCTCGAAAAACTTACAACAATCCAGTGATTCCGGCCGTGAAAGCCTTCGACGATAAATTACGTGAGTTGTTCACCCACAACCTTACACATTTTGTAAAATTTTAAAAATGATTTTTTTTTCAAATTACCCAG